GGGACAGGCAAGGGAAAGGTGTCTCTGGTGCTGAGCAAACCTGGATGTGTTTCAGGAATGCAAAGGGCCCAGGCCTGAGCCCCAGCCCCTGGCAAGGCAGATCCTGTCCCTCCCTCATTGCTCAGGGCTCTTCCCGGGATGGGCACTGGCATGTGGGGATGTGCAGTGCCAAGGGCAGGACCATGGGGTGGCCCCTGCCAGGCTGCTGAGCAGGGACAAGGAGGCACTGAGGCCCCAGGGCTGCAAGGGTCACTTGTCCCCTGGTGGCCTCAGGCCCAGGGCCAGCAGCCATGGCCAAAGGGCTGCACAGGTTGGCTCTGTCAGGGCCTTGCAGCTGCTGCACATCCCTGAGCCCTCTGCAGCCCAGGCTGTCCCACGGTGTCCACCAAGCCTTAGTCTGACCCACACCTTCATTCACAAAGGTGTTCCATATGCAGTACATTACACAACTTTTCTATGCATATTCAACCCCTGGCCCTGCCTGTCCTCCCCTCTCATGCTAAATTGGTCTGCACCCTTCTAGGCATGTGTGGTTTGCCGTGGTGGTCCTGTGGGGTTCTCTGGTGGTCTCTGAGGATGAAGAAAGATTGTGGTCTTCCTCATGGTTGAAATTTTGAACTTTTCTCCTTTGCACGTGCACTTTTGGTCCTTTGGTGCTTATCTGAGTAGTCTGTCAGTCTTGATAGGCTTGGAGACAGAGGAGTTTCTTTATCTGGGTATTGTTCTTTATGCAAGAAACTTCAGAAATTTCCATTTTCTTATGCCTTTTGTACCATGGCAGAGGTTTCTTAAGTAAAAGGTTAAAATTCAACATATAACTCTACAAGCTAGAATATAAATGCTTAATTCATTTTGTTAACTTAAGTGAACTCCAAAAATCTCTATTTCACTGGGAAGGAAATTCCTTTCTCCTGGTGTTCAGTCTGGGCCTCCCCAGCTGCCCTTGGTGCCATTATTTCCTTCTCAGTCTTTTTTCCACTCTGGAGAAGAGCTCCACCATCTCTGGAACCACCCTTCAAGCCCTCTCAGGCTATTCCTGGGCCTTCTTTCATTATATAGTTGTTCTTTACTTGAGGCCTCCAAACTCCTTCCCAGGACATCTCTTGGACCTCCCCTGTAGGACTGTGCCCCTTTTTGCTTTGTCCCCTTAAAAAGGACAAAAAGCCCAGAAGTTTCTCTCCTCAATTTGGTTAAAAGACACCTCATAGGACCTTGGGGACTTCACCTCAAACGTAAGGATAGCTAATTGGACAGGAGCCAAAAAGTCCTGCCTAAGCAATTCACTAGAAAAAGGAGAGAACAAAAGAAGTTAATAGCTTTTGTGAAGTATTTTAGCAGGATCAAGAACCTCTTGTCCTAGATCGATTTTTCTCTGTAAAAAGCTTTGCTATTTTTTCCTTTTATTAAAACTTTTCTGTTTCCAACACTGTCACAGGAGCCATCCTGCTACTTTTATGCCAGCTAAGGTAGCTGAACTATCTAGGGTGTAATACTTACCTCTGAGAGCTTACAAGACCTGGCTTAAAAGGACAAAGTATTATCCCCCAGGCCATGAAAATGCCACGGTCTCAGTCCAAGATGATGGATAGACACTTTTTGCCAGGGGTTTTATTGGAGAACAAGGCACAATATATTTATGCTGAACAAGGGCAGATTTAGATTGGATATAAGGAAGTAATATTTTATCACGAGGGTGGCAGGACTCTGGCAGAGGATACTCTGGAATCCTCATTGCTGGAGCGTCCAAGGTTGGCAGCTTTGTGAAATCTAAAAGTGCCCTTGCACAAGTGAAGATGTCCCTGGCTAATGGGAGTTGCACCAGAGGGTCTTTTAGGTCTCTTCTAACCCAAAGCATTTTATAATTCTGTGATTCTTATAACCCAAACCTTTCCATAGGGCTGAAAATATTTACACCATATTCAAATTTTAATCTGATCTGATCCTCAACACTTGCATATAAATAAAACAACTTGCATTTAAGGGACATGAACTGTCATGTTTTTGGAGAAATAATTCAAACCCAACCGCTAAAAATTATCTTGAGAAATTTCCACCAAATCCGTATGAAAGATTTACTAAGTTGGTCAATGGTAGAGCCTTCCAGGGTGACCTCCCAGCTGAGGATGGGGGTTTCTCATTGCCTGAGACTCGTGGTGGAGAACAACAAAGGGCTGCTGGGGACTGTCCAAGACTTGTCATGGGGTGTCTGGGAAAGGAGCGCAGGAAGGGAGAGGGTGGCACCATGATCGTGGAAGAACAGCCATGAGGAAAGGGAAAGAAATGTCATGAAAGAGCTGGTCACGTGTAAAAAGGTGATGGTCAGTGTCCATCCAAGGCTGTGCCCTGCAGCTGATCCCCTGTCCCGTTTCCTCCATCCCTCCCTTGCCAGGAACTGTCTGGGAGGAGGGAGCTCTCTCTGCTCTGGGTACCAAGGGAGGTCCAAGTGTCAGATACCACAAATCATCAGGTCTTGTGTCCTTTGGGGGCCCAGGCACTGGTGGGACTGGTGTGTGTGCACAGAGCTGGTGTGTGTGGGGCTGGGTGTAGCCAGCAGGGAAGATCAAACTCGAACAACCAGCGAGCATCAGAAGCTTGGGAGGGATCAGCTCCTGCAGGGATCCACATGCTCTGGGTGTCTGCAGCTCTGCCTCTCCCCCTGCCATGGCAGAGCACACAACCAGCCCATCCCTGTGCCCCTTCTCCACTGACTGGGCTTTGGCCTGGCCTGGGAACCTCCCAAGGTCCCTGAATTATTAAAGAAATATGGATATTGATCTAGTACCT